TTTAGGGAGTGTGTGAGAGGGAAAGACAGAGAAACATCGATGTGAAAGAAACACATCGATTGGTTGCCTGGGTCCACAACAAAGGTAGGTGCCCTTCACTGGAATCAAACCCAGGACCCTTTGGTCTGCAAGCCAACGCTCTATCCACTGAGCCAAATCAGCTAAGGCTGCAAATCTCTTTTATGTCTAGGTTAAAAGATAACTCGAGTCTCATATTTGCTTCTACAATCAATCTGTTGCAATATGTGGTCTGTGCTGAAACACATGAAGAATATCTAGTCTCACAAAAACATGTGGCTGGAAAAGGAAGGAGTAATTTGATAGCCTTTTGGACAATTATGTGTATCCTTTGATACTACACCAAACTTGACAACTAGCAATTTCTTATAGGTCTGTTGCAATGTAGAATCTGAAACAATGTTGGTAAACTTTCCATGTTTTGTTACTGTTCTACCCCTAATTTTAAATGGATCTCTTACCCATTTATGATTTTGTAAAATGAGCTGGTCATTTGAAAACTTCTGGTTCACTGATTAATCATACACATCTTCCAAACAATAGTATATATATATAAAAGCCCAGCGAACGATTAGGGGAACAACCAGAACGACCTATCAATCAGTCGCTATGATGCACACTGACCACCAGGGGGCAGACCTCAATGCAGGAGCTGGCCCCTGGTGGTCAGTGTGCTCCCACAATGGGAGCGTCACTCAGCTGACCAGAATGAGCAGCTGCTACCGCAGCAGGAGCAGCCGCTAGCAGGACCAGGGTGAGGCCGAGTCTCTGCACCTATCAAATACCTGAGACAATCCAGACTCTGGCCTGACCCCATCAGCTGATGCAGGCTCTCTAAGGTGTGTTCTAAAAAGAGCGTGGGGAGCTGACATAGGCAGATGGCAAGAGGGGATGTGACTGTGGAACCCCCAGAGAGGCTGTCCTGATAACTGAGGATCCTGGAGTACTGCTGTCTTGAACATCACCGATAGTGTCACCAACCTGGTATCACACATTAAGGACATTCACCAAGTGGCTTTGGAGTGCAAAGCTCTCCGTCAGGTTCCTCCAGGACACAGAACACGCCTTTACCCAAGACATTACCCTGAAGTATCAGCTCAGACTAATTTCCTATTTCAACAGCCGCTCAGAGGGCAGGTCCACAGCAACTCAGTTGACAGGGATGAGCAGCACTCCCACAGTGGGCCGATCCCCCCCACCAAAGCACAAATCCATACACCAGGCCTCTAGTTTTATTATAATCCTAGAGACCCATGCATGAAATCCAGGTACTTGGAGGGGTGGGGGAGGCTCTTCTTGCAGTCCGAGAGGCTCCCACCACAGCCACTGAGCTCACCAGCTGTGAGCCTGGCTTCTGACGGAGCAGTGCTCCCCCTGTGGGAGCACACTGACCACCAGGGGGCAGCTCCTACATTGAGCGTCTGCTCCCTGGTGGTCAGTGCACGGCATAGAAACCATTTGGTCAATTTGCATATTAGCCTTTTATTATTATAATATAGCATTAAAAAGTTCTATTTATTAAAAATATCACCGTCCATCTCATCAGAAAAGTATTTAATTATTCACAAGCTATCAAGGTCAAAGAAATAGATTCAATCTCCCCAAATTCTAAATTTCACTATAAAACCCAAATTTACCATTAACAACAAATAATATTAGGTTTTTTCCCCTTAGGTAATGCTCACTTTTTATATTTTAAGACATGATCTCACTTAAATACATAAGTCTCCCAATAACCAGTTTGTCAGTCATTTATTCAAGTAAAAAGTATTTCATGAAATTAGTATCTAGGTTCAGCTTGCAACTCACACAACTACACTAATGAAAAAGAAATATTTTGTCGAAACCAATTTGGCTCAGTGGATAGAGCATCAGTCTGCGGACTGAAAGGTCCTGGGTTCAATTCTGGTCAAGGGCATGTGCACTGGTTGCAGGCACATCCGCAGTGGGGGGAGTGCGGGAGGCAGCTGGTTGATGTTACTCTCTCATCGATGTTTCTAGCTCTCTATTCCTCTCTCTTCCTCTCTGTGGAAAATCAATAAAATATATTTTTTAAAAAAGAAAAAAATATTTTTTCTAATACAATCATTTTACAGTACTTTATTAAAGCATACTTTTTAACACAAAAAAAATATTACAAAGACATGTAGCAGGAACTGCAAATCAAAAACCCAAGGTACCACTTCATACTATTAAAAAAAAAAAAAAAAAAAAGGATAATGATAAGTGTTGGTAAGGATGTGGAGAAACTGGAATCCTCATATATTGCTGGGCGTACAAAGTGCAGTCACTTTACAAAACCATTTTGGAAGATCCTCAAAATGTTAAACACAGAATTACTATACAATCTAACAATTCCACTGCTAAGTATATATCCAAAAAAACAAAAAACAAAAGCATGTTCACACACAAAATATGTACATATTTCACAGTAGCATTATTCATAACTAGAGGCCCAGTACACGAATTCGTGCACCAATGGGGTCCCTCAACCTGGCCTGTGCACTCTGGCAAACCGGAATCCTTTGGGGGATATTGGACTACCAGTTTCAGGCCCCATCCCCACAGGCCTGAGCTGAACCCAGCAATCCAATATCCCAAGGCACTGTTAACAGTGTGCTAAACTACAGGTGGCTGGGCTCAAGCCCCGGGCGGGCACCATACCACTCAGGCTCATCGTGGCCCCTGTGCCTGCTGCCACTGCTGCTGCCACTACAACTGCTGCTGGTAGCACTACTGCAGAGGAGGGAGAGGCTCGTGCCGCCACAGCTGTGATCGCCAGCTGTGAGCCCAGCATCTGATGTCCCTCAGTCAGCTGAGCGGTGCTCCCGCTGTGGGAGCACACTGACCACCAAGGGGCAGCTCCTATGTTGAGCATCTGCTCCCTGGTGGTCAGTGCATATCATAGCAACCAGTCATTCAGTTGCTTAGGCTTTTATATATATAGGTAGCCAAAACATAGAAACCTTGTCCATCAACAGATAAATGAATAAAATGTGGGATATTCAAATGGAATATTATTCAACCACAAAAAGAATCTCTAAAATATTATGCTAAATGAAAGCCAGACGCAAAAAACCATTTAATATATGACTTCATTAATATGAAATAGAATTCCACTGATATGAAACGAAAATCCAGAAAGACAGAAAATAGATTAGTGACTGCCAAGGGCTAAGGTGTGGTGTGTGTGTGTGTGTGTGGGGGGGGGGGGGGGGGGGGTATTGGAGAGGAATGAGGAGTGACTGCTAACAGGTATGGGAATTGGGGGGGGAAGAGGTGAAAATGCTCTAAAATTAGATAGTGGTGATGGTTGCACAAGTCTGTGATTATATTAAAAATTACTGAGTTGTATACTTTAAAGGGTAAATTTATGGGTTGTGATTTACATTCCAATAAAACTACTATTTTTAAAAAAAAACATTTAACACTCAAGGTTCAAGATTTAGTAAAAATAACCATTTAGATGGGTTTAATAAGAATATTCTTTAGTGAAATCCGTGTTTAACTGCATTTAAGTGCAATATCATAAAGAATATAAGTAGTATAGTTTTGTGCCACTGCTTTGATTTGTGCTAAGACACAAGCAGTTTTAGCCACCATCAGCGAAAATGTTAACACAATAAAAAAGACAAATAACTTCAGTATTATGAAAAGGAATTTAACATCAAGGACCTCTTAAAGGAGTGATAGAGATCCCCCAGGGGTCCACAGACCACACTTTGAGAACTGTTGCTCTACACCACAGCTTCTGAAGGCTCAAGTGCAATTAAAAGCTGTCCAAGAACAGACCTGAGGCTTTAAGACAATTCCAATTTTCTAAGCATATATCACAAATTTCTCAAAAGAAAAAAGGCAGTCTATTGTGATGGAAATTATTTCAGTAAATTAAATTTAAGCATCCCAATTTAAGAATTTAGAATCACTAACTTAATGGAAGGTTAAAATCCCCACAAAATCTCTCCCTGACAGAGTGACTTAATTGGTTGAGCTCCTCCTGTGCACCAAAAGACCGACAGGTTAATTCCCAGTCAGGGTATATATCCAGGTTGCAGGTTCTAGAATATGAACAGTAACCTATCCAAGTTTCCCTCTCACATTGTTGTTTTTCTCTTTCTTTCCCCCTTCCCTGCCCCCTCTTCTTTCCCGTCTCTCTACACTCAATGGGTAAGAATTTAAATAATTAAAAAAATTAAAATCTCCACGTAAGAACAAATTAAAAGTAGAAGAGCAAAAGGATTTAGTACAACACAATAAGATGCTATCTAAATAAACATTATAACACATAATGTTTATAGCATTTCTTTTAAAACTATACTATTTAATTCTTGCACACAAAAAAGAGTAGACTTCTGAAATTTCTACCCCCTACTATAAATAACATGTCTAACACAACTAAGTTCAAAGCCACTACACACTTGTAAGAATAAACTGTCAGAGAATCAAAGAATTTTAGGTTTGGGAAGCTAACTTAGATATAGTTACTTAGTCTAACAACCCAATTTTACATGATGAGGAAACTGAGTTTGCAAGAGAAAAAGTAACTTGGCCAAAATAGCACAGCTAGCTACTAGCTGAGACAACAGTACCATATTTTTATTTTTACTATGCCAATCAGATTCCCCAAGTAGATATAGTGCAGAAAACACTGAACTTATATCACACCAAGGATGACCAAGACACTTTACCTGCCAAATAAAAATTTTGTAATGTTTGAAACACCAATCATATATGAAAACAAATACAGAATTGAGAAAGGAAAAATTACAAATATAACGGCATAATGGAGAAATAAATCCTTGACTTCAAAAACTACAAAATTTCAATGAAGAACAATTTGGAAGACACTTTAATGTCTACTTTTCATACAAATTTAGGGCAACATCTCTAAAGATACTGATAAACATCTAAAGCAAAATATATCCCTACATATTGACAAATCAGTGAACCTATCTATGGTTACAATATGACTTAAGACTTACCTGCAGGACTGTCAGCATTCTCTCCTGGGTGTAGCTGTATACCAGTAGAATCTATAGAGTTTACTGTAACTGTCTGTAGATTTGGCAACTGACCAGTGCTTAGACTAACTGGAGTTGAAGTCAAGGCTCCACCTGCTGCAACCTGACCAAGCGTAAGTGTCTGAACAGGTGTCAAAGTTATTTGTTGGGCAGCAGTATTCTGTATTTGCAAATTCTGCAAGTTCTGGACCCCTTGTACTTGAAATGTTTGCCAAGTTATTTGTCCAGAAGGGGTCACTGTCTGTGCCTGAATTAAAAAGGTTCCAGGATTCAGCTGCAACTGAAGATTTTGCAAAGCCTGTTGTGATATATTTTGACCACTTGCTTGCACACCATGGATTGTCTGTGGTGTAATACCTTGCACAATTTGGGCTTGACTGGTTGGCTGCTGAGACTCTTGAAGTTGTAAATGTTGTACAACAGGCTGTGCTGTAGAAACCTGAATATTCTGAGCCTGTGTCTCTTCAGAAACAGGCGACTGGATGTAATTTCCCTGAAGATCTGAAGAATGGACTTGCCCACTAGAAGTAGTCAAGCTATTTGTGTTTTGTTGCAATATACCTGTACTATCTATAGTAACAGGCAACTGTGATGAAGAGGACGTTGGCACAAATAAATCTGTATCAGTATTAGTTTCATTAATATCAGGAGAAACCCGCTCACCAGTCCTTTCTGAATTGTCTGAACTATCCATAGCTTGTCCTGTATTTATCAAATGTCCATCGGCATTAATGCCTGCAGTCATTGTCTGAGAACTGCCCGAGAGTCCCAAAGAATCTAGATCGACACTGTTGATTGGTACAAAGGTAATATTTCCTGGCAGACCAAGAGGCACATTAGCAACTACTTGGGTTTGGCCAGGAAAAGATGAACCACCAATTGTAACTCCCTGAACCTGGACTTGACCAGTCTGTGGTATGAGATTCTGAATATTAGCAGGAGGTGTTCCAGAGGCAAGCAAGGTTTGATTAGAGCCAGGAATGATCTGAATTTGACCACTTTCTTGATTTATACCGCCATTATCTGAAGTTCCTGTGAAGCCAATCTGAACCTGTTGACCATCTGTTGACTGAATCTGTGGTATTACTTGATATTGAACATTGGACACTGTACCATTCGATGACTCTGATCCTGGTGCAACTGAAAATATTTGTTGATTCTGCAAATTCTGAAGGGGAAGAACATACTGCCCACTCGAAGTAGCAGCACTTGGAATCTGTACTAGATTACCCGCTTCATCTTTTATAGCTGTAGGTGTGGCTGACAAAACCTCCCACCGGCTTGGTGCTCCTCCTAACTGTACAGCAGCCAAATCACCTGTCTGGATGAAGAAAACAAAAACTGTTTTGAGATATATATTTGTAGTAGAGTTAAACCAGTCCTCAAAACTCTACAAACTGACATAAATCCTACTACCTAAAAATAAAAGTTCTCTTAATAACACAGTGGAGTTCAAATACAGAAACAGTACTATATAACGTATAGCCTTGGCCAGTTGGTTAGAGCATCACCTGATACACCACAGTTACAGGTTCGATCCCCCAACAAAGCTCGTACAAGAATCAGCCAATGAATGAACGAATAAGTAGAACAAATGGATCTTGATAGGTGAGTTCGGAGTTCGGGTTCTCTTTCTCCCTCCCCTCCCCCCTTAGAATATTTTAAAATTTCAGAAAATAAACTACAATTATCATTTCCAATTTTTTATTGTAAAAATAACCCATGCTATTTGAGCAGGAAAATTTTTCAGTAAGCAGTCTTTGCTTTATGACCGCTAACTGATCTTTTATTCCCTCATCTATGATCTCTAATGCTTACAGTTAAAAATAATAGAAGTGGCTAGAAAAAAGTATAAACAGCTCAAACCAGACATACCTCAAACACTGAATTCAAAAAATATACAATGCACTAAAAATATCAGGTGTATTATATATGAGAAAAAAAGAAACATTACTACTGCAGTGTTATCAAACCATGTGAATTAGATTTGTATATTATTAATCTAAACCTTTAATCAAATAATTCAAGTGACTCTTTTATAGCATGTTTTAATGCACTCCAGAACAAACTCCTGTATAGGGATATTCTATTAGCAATTCTTTATTTTTCCCATGAATTACTTTTTTAAAAATGACACCTTTAAAAACTTAACAAGGAACTGTGGCTTTACCTACTATTCTATTTAAGTTTACAGTCAAGTGTCCAGTATTTACATTTTGCAATCTGTGACCTGTTGGAATCTCAGGTATCATCCCAATACTTTAAAAATTAGATTAGAAAAACACCAGTGTAGAAAAGCAAAAAGCAATAAAATCCTACATGTCAATGTCAAAGGACAGAATTCTTTTTAGGGCATAGTAACAATAATGTTTAGCATTTGAGCTTTTTTTTTAATGCCAAGAACTCTAATTGGGGTTTATAAGATTTTATTACTTACTCCTTTCAACAATACTGAAGTAGTGTTAGCATTATTCACATTTCACAGAGGAGAAAATTGAGGGACAAATCACAGAGCTATCAAGTGCCAAGACAAGATATAAAACTAGGCCAAGTCTAACTATAGAACCCAGACCCTTCATACTATACCATACTGTCACCCACTAAGAAATGGGATAAACACATAACTAATGAAATCCTATATTAATTACCATCAAAATAAAACGATTCCTATCCCACTTCCTTCTAGATCTATGTGATTTCCTAAACCATCACATATAAGTAGGCAATGAGAGCAGAAGCATATCTAGCCCAGCATTCTAAACCTAGGATCCATGCCTGCATTTCAAAGGATCTTTGAATCCTCTAATACTGTACCAACTTTTTGAGAAAGTGGGGAGAGGATGATAGGGCTTAATCATATTCTCAGAAGGGGTCTATGACCATAAAAAAAAGGTTAGACAAATACTGTTCTCGCAACATAACCCATTCCACATTTCTATTACAAATATTACAGAACCAGAATATTTTAAAAGTTTATTAAAGAAACTCACTACCTAACTTTCATATAGGAACAGTTAATATATATTTCAATGGATAAAACCACGGTATTAATGACACAACTCAAGGTATTTGTGCATATCTGTCAAAATGAAATAAACAGATGAGAAATTCCATGAAATAAACTATCTTTTTCGTCAAATGGTTCACATCTATCTAAGCAGACAAACACATACATGCTACTACATGTGAAAAGTATATACTAGCCATATGATCGACACACTATTTGGGAACATAGAAGCCTAAAAAAACAATTATCTCACATAAGATATATTTAAAGTAATTTTAGAATAAAATTTAATAATTCGTTTGGGTAATTAGGAAATAGAAACAGAGGAATTACTAAAGATAGAGTAAGTCACAGACAAAAAGAAACATTGTAGTTTGATGTTCAAGAGAAGATCCAGAAAAGGCTCAGATTCAGAGAAAAGGAGAACAGGACTAGACATTTTTGTCAGGGCCTTAATAAATGGCTTTGTATATTCTGTTAAGGAGTTTAGACTTTATCCTGCAGACAATAAATGAAAGCTATAAAAGGTTTTTAAACAAGTGGTACAAGCAGATCTGTTTCATAAAGATAAACTAAGGCCCAGTGAAGGAGATTGAAAGGCGGAAAAGAGTACAAGCAGAGAAACTGTGGGACTCATTACAAACATCTAAGCCTGAACTAAAACAATGATCACTTAAAACTTAAATACAATCTTTGTCCTAGCCAGTTTGGCTCAGTGGATAGAGCGTCAGCCTGAGGACCCAGGAATCCTGGGTTCAAGTCCAGTGAAGAGCATGTACCTTGGTTGTGGGCTCATGCAGGAGGCAATCAATCAATGTAAGACACATCAATGTTTCTGTCTTTCCCTCTCCCTTCCACTCTCCCTAAAAATCAATGAAAAAATAGCCTCAGGTGAGGATTAAAAAATATATAAATAAATAAATAAATAAATAAATAAATAAATAAATAAATAAATAAATAAAATCAATCTTTTAAATCTATCAAACTTAAGTCATTAAAATGAAGCAACAGCCAAATCCGGTTTGGCTCAATGGATAGAGCGTCGGCTTGGGGACTGAAGGGTCCCGGGTTCGATTCTGGTCAAGGGCATGTACCTTGGTTGCGGGCATATCCCCGGTGGGGAGTGTGTAAGAGGCAGCTGATCGATGACTCTCTCTCATCGATGTTTCTAACTCTCTATCTCTCTTCCTTCCTCTCTGAACAAAATTAATAAAATATATTTTTTAAAAAAATGAAGCACCAAACATTAATGTCACACATCATTCAACTTCTATATGGTATAGAAATTAGAAGGTTAAATCATCTTTTCTTATTTTAAAGTAACAATTCACATTTCATTTCAATCTCTCTTGGCATTTTAAATAAGCTAAAGATATGTGTCTGTACTTTATATTGAAACCTGCAGTACAGTATAATATCTAAAATCCAATCCTTATGTTAAGGTTATTGATCACCTTTAAAGAATCAACTGTAGCCGGGACCGGTTTGGCTCAATGGATAGAGCGTCGGCTTGGGGACTGAAGGGTCCCGGGTTCGATTCCGGTCAAGGGCATGTACCTTGGTTGCGGGCATATCCCCAGTAGGGGGTGTGCAAGAGGCAGCTGATCGATGACTCTCTCTCATTGATGTTTCTAACTCTCTATCTCTCTCCCTTCCTCTCTGTATAAAGTCAATAAAATATATTTAAAAAAAAAAAAAAAAAAAAAGAATCAACTGTTGAAATTTTTTCTGACCAGCATTAAATTTATAATTATTTAACCTATATAAAAGAATATAGTGTCTCAAATACAAATTAACTATATATTACTAGTATTTAGGCCTTTTATCATCTTTTAAAAAGTTAACTTATGACATATAAAGTATTCATTTCACAGAAAAATAAAAGGGCAGATATTCAACTATCAGTGAACTGCTTTCTAGTCAAGAAATTCTTTGAAAATAAATATAACTACTCAAATGACAATTCTGAGTAAATACTACCCAAGCCCACCCCTCCCTCTCCAGAAGCTAAATAAAAATAAACTGTAGTACCACGTTTTCCCAACAAAGCAGTTATTAATTGAAGGGAAATCCCTTCTCCAAAAAAGAAACAACAAAAAAAAAAAAGAGAGAGAGAAATCCCCAAACCTAGGACAAAAATGATTTGAACATGTTTTAATAAACTGAAAGTGAAAAACATTTAATAATATGTATGCCCTGGCATGTGTCTCAGGTGTTTAAGCATCCGCCCTTGCACTGAAAGGTAGATAATCCCAGGAGAGGGCACATAAGCAGGTTGAGGGTTTGATCCCAGTTGGGGAGCACGCATGAGGCAATTGATGTTTCTCTATCACATCAATGTTTCTCTCTTTCTCTGTCTCTCCCCCCTCCACCTTTTCCCTTCCTCTCTCTTTGAAATCAATGGGAAAAAATGACCGCAAGCGAGGATTAAAATTTATGTATTATGTATGTATGTATGCATTTATTAATGTGGTTTGTTTATTTGGCCCAATGCATTTATTAATGTGGCTTACTGTTTATTTGACCCAAGCCAGGGGATGGGGAAAATAGCTAGGAATAGCAAGAGATAATTTAATATAAAGGAGGAAAAAAAAAAACAGCAATAAGCTAGCTGGTTTGGCTCAGTGAATAGAGCGTTAGGACTCTTCTGGACTAAAGAGTCCAGAGTTCAATTCTGAGCAAGACCCTGTTCTTCAGTTGCAGGCTCAATCCTGGTCCTGGTCAGGGCATGGGGAAGGCAGCCAATCAATGTGTCTCATTCACACTGATGTTTCTCTTTAAGTCTTTCACTCTAAATATTCTTGGGTGAGGATTAACAAAAAGAAGAAAGCAATAAAAAATGTTTTTCTTTAATGAAATAATTTACAATTTTAAAAGATTTACTAAATGTTAATTTTTAAAACCCTCACTACAGAATCTTTTTTTAAACTGATTTTTAGAGAGAGGAGGGAGAAACATCAATGTGAGAAAGAAACGATCAGTTTGCCCCACTACTAGGCCCAAACCCGGGCCCAACTTGGGATCACATCTACAACCTAGGTATGTCCTCTAACGGGGAATCAGATGCTCCAAACAAGTGTTCTTTTTTTTTTTTTTTTAAATGGAATGGGGAAAAATACTGAATGAGAAAACTACTAGACTTCCATGATTTAATCTAAGATTGTGCTGGGTAAAGAGGAATATATTGCAATAGCAAAAAGAACTCAGAACTGAGTTCTGGTCCTAGCTAGAACTATAGAATTGTGTATGATTTAGAGCAGAACTTCTGTTAAAAATGGGGGGAAATATTACCTTAGAGGTTGTAAGAGTCAAAACTGCTAACCTTTATAAACTATAAGGCATTATACAACCGTAAGGCATCATTATGATTACTAAGATTTTAAGGATAGATTTGAAAAGCACCCATTAAGTGACTAGCACAATTCCTGGATCAGTAAGTATTTGTTGAATGAATAGTTAAAGGTATCTTACTTTAGAATCATTGCAAAGAAAATGATAGGAAAAAAAAAATGGATCAACAAAACTGACCCTGAGATATTAGTCTTCTGCAAAAAACTCTACATCAATTTTAAACCTATTTATTTCCATAATTCCACAATGAATAAATCCCAAATATTTCAAACTACAAAGTCTACTAAGACCATTCATTTGTAAGAAATTTCATCAGCAGCATACCATTAAAACACATAAAATACTCTCCATACCAAAAGGGAAAGGGCTAAACTAGAAAATCATCTAAGACCAAAAAGAGCTGTAAAAACTCTGCCGTTAGGCTATCTGAAAATACTATACAAAACAAAAGAGAGGCCATAAAATCACATAACCTAGGCAAGAACTAGTATTTGGTTTAGGATCAAGATAACCCTTCACATAAGCTTCAGGCTAAAAGAAAAATCCACCCGTGTTTCTCTCAGTAACTTTTAATATTCTCATTGGACAACAAAATACTATCTAAATACTTCCTGTATTTAGGTGGAAGTTGGCATTACTGTAAAAAGTTGTAACTGAAGGTACTCTGAGGTTCCTTCTGCATATAAACACATACTAGTAATTACACAGTGACAGGACCATAACCCAAAGTAGCCCTGAAACTACCACAGCAGTTCATTACAAGGACATTCTCCAGTACAACCAGGGCATAAAAATGAGGTGGAGGTGGGGACTTGGGGATAAGAGAAAAGAAAAAAAGGTTTATCTTCTCAGATAATATGTGTAGATAGGGAAAAATAAAAAATTCATACCACTTACTACATAGCATTTGAAAAGGATTATTAACTTCTCACTTCCCACAAATAGCTTTATATCAAATATGAAAACCAAAGAGGCAAGCAAAGAGTGTAACCAGAAACAATAAAGTATGAAGCTAAGGTAGAAACAAATGAAAAACCTTCTTAGGTAAGTTTCTTGAAATCTTCAAGGAACACTAAAGAACTCAGACTTCAAATAAAAACAAATACCTAATGAATTCATTACAATGACAATGTAGATTTTTTTTTAAGTAATGGTAAAAATAACCTTTTTTAAAAATAAGTTATTATTTTTTAGCTCACCAACATTTGTATATTAAATGAACACTAAATTTACAACCTAAAGTGAAGGTCAGGCAACAACTTTTATAATATGTACTTGTACAGCTTATTACACTATAGTACAAATGAAATAAATTAATAATCCATAAGTACACACAAATGCAAAACAGACAAGTTAATATGTCACAAAGGTCTACTTTACTTTTACTTTGTTCCCTGATTTATTATAAAAATTACACAAAAAAGGAGGACCTATGTAATTCTTCCAACAATAAAAAAAAATTTTTAATTAACTATACAACTTTTAATAATAAAGTAGTAAAGAGCCTTGCCATCAGAGTCCCTGGTGTAGGGCAATACAGGTGAGATTGTTTTGTGATTAGATCTATTTAGTACAGTACTAAGGGTATCTATCCATTCTTGGTCAGGATCCAGGATAAATCCATATCATATTAAATTCTAAATTTGAAATATTTAAAGCAAATCTCCAGTGCAGGTGATTGACTTTTCAATAACCTTTTAATCCTAAAATACCAAACTAAACTGGCATAAGATTGAAATATATGTATGTATTTAAATGATTTTAAATATAACAATACTATATGCAATGTGGTACCCTGGACTGGATCCTGGAACAGAAAATGGACAATAGTAGAAAAACTGGTAAAATAAGAATAAAATTTGTCGTTAATAATACTGTATCACTGTTAATTTCCTAACTTCATACCTAAACTTGGTTAAGTTGCAACTACCATGTCTGTATTAATATTAGGGGAAGCTGGATGAGGGTAACCCTCAAGTTCTATCTTTGCAACTTTTCTGTAAATTTAAAATTCTTCCAAAATAAGAATTTAAAAAAAAAAAAAAAAAACACAGCTACAAAATAAAGCTGTCTGTAGATGTCTCAAGATTGCCAGTAATTTGAGTAATTAAAACAGATGACCTAAGCACATTTTCAGGTGGAAAAAAAACTGCCCATAAAATCATTACCGTAAATTCTGATTTTCTGAGATGCACATGTCGGAAATTCATCTGAACAAGAAAAATAATTTTCCCATTTCCTAAGGCAAATATATTCAAGCCAGTCTTACCAATTTTACTCAGTGAAAAATTTTCTGTACAGTTATCAAACGAACAAAGAAAAAAAATGCTCCAATTGATTCTAGTTCATGTTCATCTACAGAGAAATATATATCAGTAGAGACTTGGTAGTTCAGAGTATGAGTTGAAGAGGAATGGAAACAACTTTTCTACAAGTGATATATGGCCACAGTAGGCTAACGCTGGAGATAATATTCCATTCCTGGGACTGAGATTCACACATACATGTACATACACAATTTTCACCTTCACTTCCTCCTTTACTTCTCCCCTCCCCCATGGGTGACCTGATACCTAAACTTGGTTAAGTTGCAACTACAAAAAAGTTCTAACTGAAAATATTAAAAAGTAGAAGCAATCTGGCTTGCAATTTTACTTATGCAGTAGTTTTATTCTGTCTTGTCATTGTAGAGCTAGAGAGATGTAGTTAAGATTTATCAATCAATCAATCAAAAATTAAGTTTAAAACTTAAAAGTCATACTTTTAAGACACTAAAACCATTCATCTCTCTACAATATAACTTGAAGCACTAAAATTACAAATACAACATTTAACAACATAGCTTAACTTTGGCTTCACTTTCAATGCCTAGAAATATTAAGAATATCGAGCAGACTATATCAAATATCAAACTGTTATTGTCTTCTGTGACTACTTCCAAATATCACTACACACAAGCCAATTCCTATAATCCACCTCAAAGGAAAATGCTTCAATTACTTTAATAAGTAAACACATCTACGTGTTACACTAATGCAACAGCAATGATTCCAGCAAATATAAAAGTCACAAGCAACAGTGCTAAAAGCTGTTTTCCTCTAGATCATTTGAATTAAGCCCTCAGATAACCCATCAGCTCCTCCCCCTGCTCCAGACACTAAAAACAGTACAAAAAAGCGTCTTACAACGTCCCATCAGACTAGCAACGGTAACAGGGTTTTACTAACTAAATTCAACTGTTTAAGTGTGGTGTGCATTAGCATGCATGGAAGTACAACTTCTTACATGTACTTTTGTTTCTAACACTGGTATCCAGGTTCAATTTCAAAAGCCAAAATATTATCTAAGTATCTTCAGCGACTCCAACAGCCGCTAATTAAATGTTTCACTTATTTATTCGACTTGTGAAAAATTACTGCAAAATAAGTCTGCAAAAACTAAAATTCGACCATTTAGAATGGCCACTGAAAAAGCACGTAAAAGCATCCACTCCTGCAATACAAAAAGATAATTCAAAGAGTAAGCCTTCCTTTTTTCTTTTTTAAACAATTTACGGTTTAAATCAGTAAGCTCTAGTAACTTCCAACCGAAAAGGCTCCAGGTTCAAAAACCCTAAAAACTAAAGACGCTGTGCCTCTGGCTGATACTATCTATGGCCGATAGGCTGTGCTTGGAAATTCTGTGGTGTGCAGGGAAGGAGTTCTCGGCGGCGATATGAATTACTCAAACATCCATTTTGGAGTCTCCCACCCCCGCCCTCCCAGACCTCATTTTGTAGTGAACGTGGATCGAGGTTCCGCAGCGACCATGCAGGGAAAGCCTGGGCTGCCTTCGGGCCCCAAACAAGCCTGCGGAGGAGCAGGAAAGGGCGCGCTGGCCGCGCGATCGGGGAAGGCGCGGGCGCCGGGGAGGGCGGCCTCGGGGCGGCGGGCGCGCCGCGGGCCTGGGATGGCGGGCGCCGGGCCTCGGCGGGGGCGGGCCGCGCGCGCGCGCGCGGGACTTACCGCTCCGGCTACGGCGGCGGGGTCCCCGGCGGCGGCGGCCGCCTCCTCCTCGTCGTCGTCGCCCGGCGAGGTGGGCCCAATCTTGCTGCAGGTAGCGGCCAGCAGAGCGAGCGGTGACGGCTGAGTGTCCTACCCCCGAGGGGCGGGTTCAGAGAGGGAGACAGGGGGAGGGGTGGCGGTTAGGGCCGGGCCCGCCGCTCGCACAGGAAGTGCGACCGGTCCTCGCAGGCGGCGCCCGGGCGAGCGCCAGCCCGCGCTCACGGCCTCCTCCTCCTCCTCCTCTTCCTCTACCTCCTCCTCCCGCACGCCGGCTCGTGTCCTCCCGCTCGCACGCACTCCCGCTCGGGCGTCCGCGCGAAGGCGGGCGGCGGGCAGCGCGCGGGCCTCCACCTTCCGCCCGAGCCCACCTCCGGGAGGGCGCGCGCTCACACACACACGCACACGCACACTCACTCACACACAAAAAGGCGGGCGGCGGGCGGGGGAGCGGGCGGGGTCGGAGCGTTGGCGCCTCGGGCGGCCGCTCCGGGGCTGGGGGAGGGGAGGGGAGGAGAGAGGCGCGGAGGGAGGGAGGGCAGAGCGAGGGGAGGAGAAAGCGGCGCGAGGGGGGAGCCCGCCGGGGCTCGGCCGCGCCTCACCTGGGCCGCCGCCGCCGCCACCGCGCCGTTTCCGTGCTGCTGCTGCTGCTGCTGCTGCTGCAGATACTCGCCGTGGCCGCCGCCGCTGCCGCCGCCGCCGCTGTCCACGTCTAAGGCAGCCATTTCCTCTTGTTTCACGGGCTTTTCAGGAGCTGCAGGCACAGCGCGGGGGGGGAGGGGGGAGAAGGGGGAGGAAGGCGGGTGGAGGAGAGGGAGGGGGCCCGCGGGCCGAGTCGAAATTATTCCGAAAGCCCGGACCGGCTCCCCTTCCCCTCCCCCACCCGCCCCGCGGCGGCGGCGGCGGCGGCGGCGGCGGCTCCCTCCTCCCCTCCCGCGGCTGCCCCCGCCCGCCGCGCTGTAACCCTCCTCCTCCTCCTCTATCCCTCCTCCTCCTCCCCGCGCTGCCCCTGCCCCCTCTCCTCTCCTCTCCTCCCCTTTCCCTCCGCGCCGCTCGCTCGCACTCGCGCTCGCTCCTCTCGCACCGTCAGTCACTCACACGCCCGCCCGCCCGCCGCCCGCGCCCGCGCGCGAGGGGATGCGCTCCCAGCGGACCGGGCCGGCCGCCCGCCCGGGGCCCGGCGGGAACACGGCGCTGCTGGGGCTGGAGGGGCGGACCGTGGCGGCTGGCGGGGAGGGGACTGCGGCTTTCTGCCTCTCACAGACACTCGGTCGCACACACGGGGCCGGGAGCCGGCGGCGGCAGCGGCCCGGAGCGGGCTGTGGGCGGCGGCGGCGGCGGCAGCAGCAGCAAGGGTTGCTCTCTCGGCTTTTACGTACCGGTCATAGTGTGTTTAGGGCACCTCAGGCGGGGCTCCCCGCCGCCTTACACATGGTGAGGAGCGAAGGCGGCGGCGGCGGGAGAGGATGCGGGAAGCGGCGGCGGACACGGCCGGAGCGGTCCGGGGAAATTTTTTTTCCTATTTTGATTGACTGTGCGGGAAACACAAAAGGTGGAGCCTCCAGCCCAAAAGGGGGGAAGAGGGTGACAGCCCGCCCGGAAGTCCCGCCCCTCTTCTCCGCGTCCATTCGCCGCCACGCTCGCCGTCGGCGGTGCTCATTGGCCCGGGCGCCCGTCCGTCGCTCAGCCCGGCTGCGCGCTTCCTGTTTGCCCCGCGGGTGGAGGGGAAAGACAATGAGCGGCCTAGGCTGTGTAGGTTCCCGAAAGCGCCTACCGCTGGCCTATCACCCCGCTGGGCCCGACTTGCTCGCCCGCTGCCGCTGCCAGACCCGAGGCGCAGGCCTCTTCCGCCTCGCGGGCGCCCGAAGCGGGCCTTGCCGAGCTGCGGGGGAGCTGGGCTGAGGAGGAAATCTTTCCCCGGGGGCTCGGCTCCACTCGACGCTTCCTCCATCTCGGCCGGATCTCCCCTGGGCCTCGCGCGCTCGGAGTCGCCGCTTCCCTGCGCTGCCGGGAGGCCGCCGCCGCTGCCGCTCAGCCCCGGGGCTGCTGCCGCGGCCGCCGCAGCTACTGAGCGAACCGGACCCGCCCCGCGAGCCCGGGGGGAGGGAGCTGGTATTGGGGGAGACACCCCTTCCGAGGCTGGAGGAGGATTTTCTCTGACTTTCAGCGCCTAGATTCAGTCCCAGCCATCTCGGCCCCATCCCCCTTAGTCCCAGGTTTCCTTCACTTCATCTCCCACTTTTGTGTACCCTGGAGGCAGGCACTTAAAAACAAAGAAATAATCCACAAAACAGAGCAGAGCTTTCCTTCTTGCCAATGGCACCGAAGCAGCCACTTTCAAGTATATTTAAAACGTGGCATGTGTGTATATGTAAATACACACACACATATATTTTATATATATATAATCTTAAGAGGTGCAGGATACTTTTTATTTAAAAATACAGTCATATCATCGTATTCCCTGTTTCTTAATCGTCCTGGTAACAAGTCAAACGTGGAAAAAAAAAAAAACACATGCCAACATGTTTTAAATATTGAATCTCAGCGAGTATTTTTTTTTTCTTGGAACATTTTAGTTATACTTTAAAATCTCATCTCACTTATTAGATTAAGTAAATACTCCTTTTCTCTTTGGCATCCTTGCTATGTTGCTGTCATCCTGGGGAGGAAAATGCTGGTTTTTTGTGTGTGTTTCTTGCCAACTAAGAGAAATCTATCTCTACCTATTACCTTTCTAATTGCCAAGAAAGGTTACGTTAAAGAGGTGGAAATACTGTCCACAATAGAAATCTGACTCAAGCAAGAATCTGACTCAAGCAAGAATCTGACTTTTTCTAGAAATCTGACTCAAGCAAGAATCCAGTTGCTGGGATTATTATATTTTGTGTAACAACACTGTGCCAAGGGATGGGGTTGTAAAGCCCGGCACTTAAACTACATTTGTGTGTGCCAACTGAAAAGAACTCGTAATCCATTTGTGAGTGATTCCCAGTTCTAAAGCACATACTTTTGACCTGTTCTCATAGGATAAGAGAAGTGGTATGGTTACTTGGCACCCATTTGTACAAAAGATAGACTTCGAGGGAAGTGACCTAAAAATCACAAGCAGGCAAAACAAGACCATATGAATCCAACAATGGGCTTGATCTCTTCCAAAACACATTTTAGTCTCATATTTATAAGTAGAAGAATAACTTTAAAAGCTGGCATAAACACTATACTATTTTACACTTTAATTTTAAAGGAAATAAGCTGATTTGGGGGGGGTAGAAAAAGAGAGGGCTGAAGAGGAAGACAGGTGGAGTTGCAGAGGAGGGAAATCATAGTATTGTCTCTCTTCTGAGCCTACAGATCTGTGGGATAGAAGATAGCTCTCCCTAGAAGAGTTGTTTTTCCCCCAGCTATTTTCCCAGGAAAAGGGACATATGTTATGGGTCTAAGATACCACCTCCATGCCCCTTTTACAGTCTTAGTCCAGCCACCCATAGAGAGTAAAGTATTTGGCCACAAGAATTCATTTCTTCATTGATACTACTTGACAAATGAAATCATTTTGAAACTTTTTTGGTTCTTAGACCATTCTGACAAAATGCAAAAACTTTTAAACTTTCTGGGAAAAAAAAGTAACAGAGATAGCAATTCTGCTGTTAATATGATGGTTTTAAAAGATATATGTGCTGAAAGCATCACAATCAAATTCAGAGGACCCTCTCAGATCACACTTAAAAGGGTGATTGCCATGGAATATTAAGAAGGGTGGAAATGGTCTCTACAAAAAACACCTTTTCTTAACTATTCCAGTACTACAGTCAAACCTTGAAATACAGTTTATCTTCATTAAAAGCCGCCTGTTTTCTCAGCAGAGGTTACCCTCACGATGATACCTACTGCTACATCAAATAGGAATCCAGAATTGCAGTTCCTTATCAGAAAAGTACTGTGCTGGAAATTATTGATACTTTTTCCTTTCCGAAGATGATTTGAGGAAGTTCTGTGCTGGCACTGTTTACATGACAGTAGGAGATCTGGGTGTCAATTGCTTTTCCCTCATCCTCAATTTCCTCTCTTGGAGAGTATTATGCTGAGTGAAATAAGCCAGTAAGAGAGAGACAATATCACATGCTCTCACTCATATGTGGAATCTAATGAACGAAATAGATCCAGAGAGCCTAGCCGGTGTGGCTCAGTGGTTGAGCATAGACCTATGTACCTGGAGGTCACTATTCGATTCCTTGTCAGGCACAAACCCGGGTTGTGGGCCACAAATCAATGATTCTCATCATTGATGTTTCTATCTTTCTCCTCCCTTCCTCTCTGAAGTCAATAAAAATATTTTTTAATAGATCCAGAGATATAGAAGTATAGAAAAGACTGCGGAATGTCAGAGGGAAGGCAGGGGAGGGTGGGTGAGGAGAGATCAACCATATATACATAACCCGTGTATACCATGGTGAAGGCCTAGGGCAGAGGATGGGTGGGCTAGAAGGGGTCAATTGGGGGAGTGAGGGGAGAAGGGGACATATGTAATACTTTCAACAATAAAGACTTAATTTTTTTAAATCTTATATGTTATGTAATTTTCTTAAATCCTTTGGAAACCAATGAATATCTAAGGGCCTTGAAGACTTCTATAGATCTCCATGAACTCTTTCACCCATTTTCAATCCCCTTTTTCTCTACAAAGAGAAGAGACCATTAAGTAATGCTTGGTTCACATCTACAAGAGACTAGCCATTCCGTATTAAAAACAGCCAAAGCGACGCAGGTGGCAGCCACCTCCTACTCAACACCACAGCTGCCTGCAGACCCCTCGTGAAACCCAAGATTGTCAAAAAGGGGAGCAGGAAGTTCATCCAGCACCAGTCAGACCCACATGTCAAAATTAAGCAGAACTGGCGGAAACCCAGAGGCATTGACAATAGGGTGCATAGAAGATTCCAGGGCCAGATCTTGATGCCCAACATTGGTTCTGGGAGCAACAAGAAAACAAAGCACATGCTGCCCAGTGGCTTTCGGAAGTTTCAGGTCCCCAAGGAGCTTGAAGTGCTGCTGATGGGCAGCAGACCTCACTGTGCTGAGGTTGGTTACACTGTCTTCTCGAACAACCGCAAAGCCATTGTGGAAAGAGCAGCCCAGCTGGCCGTCAGAATCACCAATCCCAGTGCCAGGCTGCGCAGTGAAGAAAATGATTAGACAGATGGTTTAAATGTAGTATTTGTGTTACTAAAATCAAAATTCTGCCATCTGACATTTTGACAAATAAATAAATAAATGCAGCCAAAGCTCTGGTTAACTCACCACCCCTAAAGGACTGCCTTTCCTCCCAGCCCCTACTGCTTGCCTTCTGAGCATCTATGAAATTGCCAATTTTCAACCTTTTTTTTTTTTTTTTAATCTAGAAAAAGTAGCTGTTATGTATAGTTTTACCTAAATCAATGTGGGGGTTTTAAAATATATTTTTATTGTTTTTTTTGTTGTTGTTTTTTTTTATAAAGAAGAAAGGAGAAGGATAGAGAGTTAGGAACATCAATGAGAGACAAGTATTGATCAGCTGCCTCCTGCACACCTCCCTATTGGGGGTGTGCCCACAACCAAGGTACATGCCCTTGCCGGGAATCGAACCTGGGACCCTTCAGTCCCCAGGCCGACTCTCTATCCAGTGAGCCAAACTAGCCAAGGCCAATGTTTGAATTTTTTTACTTAATTTTTGTTTTTGTGATTGTGACCCTCCTTTTTGACCTGTCCCCGCCCCATTCCCTCCCCCAGGTCTCTAACCTGTTAACATTGAATTTCAGGATTCTTCAAGTTTGTTCTGTTTACATAATCACTACCATATTTCAGAAGCATTCTAGCTGACATGATTAAGTATACTTAACCCCCTTTATATTTTGTATCTTCCCTACTTTCTCAAAAATATACCTTAAAATATCTCTTGTCTTATATTTTCTTTTAAATATATTTTTATTGATTTCAGAGAGGAAGGGAGAGGGAGAGAGATAGAAACATCAATAATGAGAGTAATTGATCGGCTGCGTCCTTGCATACCCCCTCCCTCCCCAACTGGGGATTGAGCTCTGACTTTCTGGTTCATAGGTCAATGCTCAACCACTGAGCCATACCAGCCAGGTTTGTCTTATTTTTTCTTAATCTACCAAAAGGAAGAGGTAAAATTTTGAACTTTTACTGCATGCCAACTCTTTCACATATTTACTCTGTTCAGCCCTAGGAGTTAAGTATCATAAGTTTATCACTTTATAGGTGAGGAACCTGATGCTCAGTAAGATTATGGGACTTGTTCAGTTTCATTTTCAAATACGTGGCAGATTCAAACCCATATGTATCAGTCTTACCAGTCAATATACCAAGTCTTAAATGATCTGCTTAAAAAATTCAACTACGTACCCACCATGTAAAAAAATTAAAAAGATAAAAAATAGATAAAACAGGTACATATTTATAAGGAAGGTCATTTTTAAAGCAAGCCTTTAGAATGTGAACTCCTTGTGTTAGAGATCATGCTCTAAATACCAAACATGTTGATGTTTAATATTAAGCAGAAAGATTGTCAATACAGTTATCTTGTGGGAAAATAAAGGATGAATAGAAAATTACAATTAAGCTGTATGAAAAAATTTATTTGACCTTGTAATAGTCACCTCGTTCAATATTTATTTCCCAAATTAGTTAGGCCCTCGTTTCCACTCAAACTCCACACCAACAACATCATCATGGTCCCAAAAGGACTGATGTTTTTATAATTCAAGAAATTTTATTCTCTTCATCCAGGCTATTGACATCCATGGGTACTCTAAATTTCCTAGTTATCCATAACACTTCCAAAATCATCTTCATGTCAATCCAGGAAGTTTAGTCCACTGATAGATTTCTGAGTTGGTACAACTTTCTGAGAAAAGATGTTAATAATTTCTATGTTAATCTGTCTTAGAA